AGCAATTTTAAATGAGAAAATGATGATAAAATCCCTGGTAGGGATTTTGTGACAATAAAGTCTTATGGAATATGAAAATATCATTACAGTCTATGCTCTTTAATTGTATATAAATTTTGAAATTTATTCATAGAAATGTCCTTTTTCCGGGCCTTCTAGCCCAATGACATTAAGCACCTCCCTTAGGTCTTAAACTGTGAGCTTGACTCTCCATAAGTATGATAGGTGTATGAGTTCCTTTCATTGGATTAAGAATGACAAAAAAAATTATCAAAATGTCTTTTCTTTCAAAAGGTTAGGGAAAAAACATATCATTTCTGTTTAGAATCAAGTATCACATTCTTCTCCATAAAAGCCATCCCTCTGTTTCTTTCTTCTTCTTTTTTTCCTGATAAATTTTTATATGATATCAATATTGATCATATTGTGGACACTTGGACTGCTCTCACCCAACCCAAATACTAATCTCAGAGCAATGGACATTATCAGTGACAATATAATCCTTAATCAGTTAATATTGTTTTGCTGACAAGGTAAGGACAAACCCCTCTCCACATATGAACATAAACATGCTAGATATTCTCAAATTTGGAAATATGAACTTCTCTTTTGTTATTTATCGTTAGCAGGAGATTGACGTTGTAGTTGTAAATTGAACGGTGGGTTTTTCCCAGAGATTTAATCAACAGAAACAGAGCACGCAGTTGACCAGCGTAAATAGTTTAGTTCTCTGTTGGTCAAACTAGTACTTGTATATCCCAAATGTTGAAATGACTCAATTAGTTTATATTTATGTAGAAGACTTTTTTCATGATTATATTCAGATTAGTCATATCAATTCGACATGTTGAAACTCAAACGTGAGAATTTTCACACCAAGCACACCCCCCAAAAAAACGTGAATTCAGATTTTGGATAACAAATCATCTCAATGGAAACGCCGAAGCTCTTGGATTGCTTGTTTTTCCATCGTCTTTCGCTCGTCCTTGCAACAAGAGTCAGAGCAGATTATTTCATAATAGCAGCCAAAAATTTCAATTTCCAGTGATTTCGTCAAATATCTGGAAGTTTAATTCACGCACTAAAACTACCAATGAATAGCTTCTACACAAAAGCATTTGTACTTCCATCCCACAGTACAAAATCTATAAAATAATACTCTATTGATCCAATTCCGCGAATATACAACTTTCACCTCCCAGACCCAAAGTAATAGTTGATGGAACAGAATTGAAGCGAATACAGATCTTCATGTTACTGTCGAAGTAAAATTCAACAACAGTATGAAAGAAAACTTACTTCCAGAACTAAATCATACATTTTGCCCTTCTTAACCATTACAGAGGGCGAAGAGCAAAGAAACTACTCTGTTAGTTAAAAAAGAAGAAATCGGCACCAGCTTCCTAGTTGGTAGGACTTATTATGCAGCCACTGACCTCCTCATTTTTCATTCTTATTTCTTTTTCATATTGGAAAAGTAACAAGAGCGAGGGGTATTGAGCTTTTTATCATCCTACGCCAACTTAAACTCCCGGAATTGGATACTGAGTGGTGAGAGCTTCGACTTTTTTACGAAGGCTTGAAATCTGATCTTTCAAAGGAAATTCAGGGGATGACACAAACTGCATGAAGTCTTGGAGCTTTGTTCCCGGGGCCAGACGTTTGGATACTGAGTGGTGAGAACTTGTATTATTTTAATTAGGCTCGAATATTTATCTTCACTATTAGTCACTCTATTGACACATGCCTCTATGTTACTGTTTCTGCATGCGGTTTTAATTTCCATCACATACAATAGAAGTTACAGATTTATTATTCTTTTTTTCTGTCTGTCATGCTTTTTTTTTTTTGAGTTACATAGGAGCGGGATCGAACCCGCATCACTCACACACCCACGCACACACCCACACCACTGGGCCAACAGGCCGGTGGTTCTGTCTGTCATGCTTTAAGAGTTCTTTAATTCTACTTTTTGGTTGACCCTTAATTCATTGTGAACTTAAGAGGCCAACTATATTTTCCAGTATACAATGGTTTCTTTTGTTATTATGATTGAGTTTATTACTTTATTATGAGTTAAATAATTGGGTTTATCATCAAGCTAAACCTTGTTATCAATAATTTGTTAAGTAATAAAGTGCTACTCCTCCGGTCCTTAATATAAGATCTATTTAACTAATTTGATTAGATTAAAGAAGTTAGGTAAATTAGTTAATCATAAAAAAAGTGACACATTTTTCCTAAAATACAATAATCATCTTTCTTAATACCCCATTCTCCCTCTTCTACTTGATTGTGGTTGAGGGAGTATCCATAGGGGTAATTTAGAGAAAATTAATAAATATGAGAAATTGGTCTTATATTTACGACCAAAACCAACTCAATAATTGGGTCCTATATTAAGGACCGGAGAAGTATTTTCTTAACTACTTGGGTTCATGAGGTGGAACGTCAAACTTGTTCTGATATCAATTATTATGACAGTTAATATATAAATTTTGTGAAGCATATATAGTTATTATATATATAATAAATATCATCTAAAATCTAATATTATCAAGTCAGATTTGAGTATTTATAGTTCAAGTTGAGAGTAGTTGTTTGAACATGCATGATATATTTTTTTATTTATGATGGCAAAAAAAGATAGTTTTTTTAATTTATAAAGTTTGAATTTTTGAGCTTATATTACTTGAGAGGAGTCAACTCTTTTTTATTCAACTCAATCATTATTGGTAATATATGACTGTTTATAGATGAAAGCAGATTATGGTCCTGTTTGTTATCACTATTAAAATTATTTATAAGTACGTTTCACATAAGTTAAGACAAAGCTCCTCTCATATATTTATCTTGTATTTTATAAATTACTATTGAAAAACTACTCATAAGTTATTCTAAACAGGCCCTATAAAATTTCTTTTAATGTTAAAATAAAATAAAAAAATTAATTGATACAGTATATGCGTCTTTTCATGTGTAATAATGCAGATCGCGTGTTGACGTTGATTGGATCAAACTTAAGGAAGCTATATTTGGTGGGGTAGTTGGGGATTTCTTACTAAAAATAGAAATTTCGTTGTGAAAGACCCGCAACGGCGAAAATTTCATACTGTGTGGGTAATCAACAAAAATGGCATCCATTCATTATACAACTAACTTGCGTCTTCTAAAAATATCTTTTGCTGAGCTCGTTTATTTTGTTTTTCTTGTAAGGTTTCGCAATTTGCAGATTGCTTTGATTCATCAAATTCTTCACATACTTATGTCATAATTGTTGATTCAGATTTGAATTTGATTCATATTTTAGATAAGTTAGTTAACTCATACTACGTTCCGTCCTCAATACATGAGCTAGATCATTAATTTATTAATATTACCTCCGGTTCTTAATATAAAATTTTGTTTGACTTTTATTTTGGTTCTAAATATAAGACCTTCAATTGACTTTGTCTATCATATTTACGCAACTTTTTCCAAGTTAGTTCTTCAAACAATGGTAGTTCTAATCAATACACTTGATTAGCAAGGATATTTTTAGAAAGATAACATCGATTTATTACAAATAACTAACATAACTTCTTTCCTTAATCTTCTCAAATTAGTTAACTAGCTCTTATAATTAGGATCAGAGGTAGTATTAAGCAAAACAATTATTCAGTTATTTGTAATAAGTAGGTATTGTTTTTCTAAATATGTGTAATGAATGTGAGGACTATTTTGATAAAATAAATAAATATGGGAGATAAAATAAATTGGGATCTTATATTTACAATCAAACTGAAACTTTAATTAGCTTTTATATTTAGAGCCCAAAGTAGTATATTCTAGTATATATATAACATATTTCTTTTTTCAATTCTTTAGAAAATTGGATTGAAATTATTTAGGCAAGGACTTCGTTTACCAACGGTTTTGTTTTTTTTTTTTACCTGTTTCCAACCAAAAAAAAAAGTGCATTGCTTATTTTTGTTGCACTTGATGGCAGCATTATTTTTACGGAAGAATTTAATCTTTAATCTCTAAACTTAATACTTTTAATTTGTTAGTCTCTCTAGCATAATCCTAACTAAATGTTGTTTAATTGAAGCTAAAGAAAGCTAATTAATGATGTACTAATATCAAAAGCCACGCTCGATAAGTTGGTGCTTACAAAGCAAGAAGTTGCTGACATGGCGAACCACGTGGGTCAACTAATTTCTTTTTCCAGTTACAAAGGTCAACTAAAGTTTTTGTTTTCGGTACAATCAACTAAAGCTAAAAACTTATTTCACATGTTCATCAATTTTTTTTCCCAAATTAACCCTGGTAGTATTTTCTTAATAATAATCAAGTGAGAGATATAGGGAGAAAATTAAAAAAGATGATTAGGGCATTTTAAAAAAATACTCCTCCGGTCCTAAATATAAGACCTTATACTTACTAGTATAAGGGTCTTATATTTAGGACCGGAGGAGTATATATCATATTAACTTATTTAACTAACATCATTTATCTACTCAAATAGTTAATTATATCTTATACTCCTCTGGTTTTTAATATAAGACCTAATTGTTAAGTTAATTTTGGTTTTGAATATAAGACCTATTTCTCATATTTATCAATTTTTTTCTAAATTACCCCTATGAACAACTCCTCAACTATAATTAAGTAAGTAAGGGAGGAAGAATATTAAGAAAGATGATTACGGTGTTTTAGGAAAAACATATCATATTTCTTATAATTAACTAACTTATCTAACTTTCTTAATTTAATCAAATTAGTTAAATAGATCTTATATTAATGACTGAAGGAGTATTAAGGAATGGAGGAGTAACTTCAATTTGTCTTTTTGAAAATCGTAGTTAGGCTTGGCCTGTTGCTGGGCTCTTCATCCATTGGCTAAATCCAGTTTCATGTCCAAAACTCGATGGAGATTTTTATAAGCCTCCTTTTTAATTAATTAATTAATCATTTAATTTAGATCTAGTATTTTTTTCTTCGGGGGTACAAACATTGCATGTGATTCTGGAAATACAATATTATGTCAGTTGATAATTAGTAATCGAATTCGTCTCCATAAAAGCTCTCTTTATGTACCATGCTGAAACAAAGAAAGAACACAATGTATTTGCTTTTTAGCACTTAACCAAAACTATAACTATCTAGCCAAAGAACTCACTCCACTGATTCCACCAAATGAGTAATCAATTTGACTTTGACTTCCACGAGCTATCTCCATAGCCAAACATTGTCTCAATTCCATCACTACATGACTCATTGTTGGCCTGTTTAGGGAAGAAGGTGCCACAGAAGCCATTGCAGTATCCAGTGCTTTTGTTGCAGAATCAATATCAAAGTTCCCTTCTAATCTTGAATCGATAATATCTGCAACCTTGCTTTCAGCTAGCATGACATTAACCCACTGAACTATGTGAGGTTTTTCTTCAGTCTTGGCTATGGCAGGTTGTCCTGTAATTATCTCAAGAAGAACAATCCCAAAGCTATAAACATCACTTTTTTCGTTCAACTTGTTTGACATATTGTACCTGCGTGACAGAAAGACTGCAACTTAACCTATGGCTTAAGAGAAAAACACAAGAAGAATATATGACTAATTCGGCTTAGGTAGCTTAGAGGGCTAGCAAAAACTTACTCGGGGTCAAGATATCCTGGGGTGCCAGCTATCACAGTAAATATATGCGTATCATCTTCATCACGAAAGATTTTTGACAATCCAAAATCAGCTATTTTTCCACGAAAAAATTCATTCAGTAAGATGTTTTTGGACTTAACATCTCTGTGAACAATCGGTGGCTTACAACCCGTATGCAGATACTCCAAGCCTGCAGTTAAAAGTGAAGGGAATTTTGCTGCATAAATGGAAGGTTCAACAAAGTAAATTAAGGCAAAATTCCTTCTTTGCTAACCTTCTGCGGCATCCACTGCAATTTGTAGCCGTTGTTTCCAGTTCAGGATGTTTACATTTTTCTCTGCATTAAAATAAGTTGCATAAAAATTTGCTCAGTTGTATACACCTAGATTTGATTTTTGAATCAACTTTGAAACTTCATCCTAGGGTGTATGTTAGTTATATATAGGCTGATTGAATGCCTATTACTATCTTCTTCGTAAGAAGTGAAATTTTTGATGGACTTGACGGATCATATGACAAATACCTGATAAATGCTTGGCTAAGTCGCCATTAGCCATATACTCATAGATGAGAGCAACGTTGGTGCCATCGTCACAATATCCTATCAGAGAAGTCAAGTGTTTATGGTGAACTTTAGCAAGTTTTGCCTGTGAATCAGAGAATCGTAACTTCAGTTTGTCTGAATCTGAAGGTAGTTCAAAATCCACATGAATGCATGTAGAATTGGTTGATAAGATGTTTTTATAGCGCGATATATTTATGATGAAGACTCAATAATGTTACCATACCTCTGCCTGAAATTGCAGATATCCTTGACCTGAGGGAGAGAGCATTTTGACAGCAACCTGAGTGTTGCTTGAGATGCCGTGGTACACTGTTCCAAATGCTCCTTTTCCCAAAACCTTTTCAAAGTTCTTGGTGATGCTACAAACTTCAGCATAAGTGAATTCTTGCTTCTTCAGCCCTAGCTCCTTCTTTATTCTGGAATAAGCACTCAGCTTCACTGGATAGATGGGAACTGTGAGAGAAGAAAAAGTATGCCTATGCAGTAAAAAGGAACCCCCCCTTCCTTTCTGATTTACTTGTTTTGCAAAGCACAGTCAGACTTCCTTTGATAAGGAGGATGACAGTGTTCATTAGAAGCAATCTGACTTTTTTATTTGTTGGTCAAAAACTTCTATACCCAAGAAAGAAAATTTTGCCTCTTTACTTGAATTTTTATCAATAGAAGAGATTAGACGTGTACCTGTTTTTTTCCTTCTGGAAATGCAGAAAGTAATTGTGGCTGCCAACAGTATTAAAGCTCCAGCTAGTGATGACACTAACGGAATGACGAACTTTGCCTTATTACTCTTACATGAGTCTTCTGAAGAGCAAAGATTTGGATTTCCGCCAAAACTTGCATTTAAAATGAAAGTTGGACAAGTCATAACACAATTATTTACCAAAGAACACACTGATGATAAGAGCATTAGCTTAGCGAGCACTTCTAAAATTGAAGAGAAATTAAATGCTAGATCGTATAAAGCTACTCTTGACTTTGAGATATGATAGATTACTTCTAAACTCCAGCACTGAACAACGAATTCCCCTTAAGATTTTAACTTTGTGCAGATAATTCTCCTATGATCGGCTAGTCATTTCACTAGTAGAAGCATAAACTTCAAAAGAATTATCCGCACATTCACATGACCTAAAGTCCAAAAGGATTATTTACACATAAACCGAAGTTGAAGAGGGTTATTTGCACAAAAAATGTAGTGAAATATCAAACTAACTAATGAAATAAGGTCTATACAACAATTTACAGTTTTAGGGAATTTATTGGTAAATTTTAGAAGTCTATGCTCAAGATCCTAAGTTATGGGATACTATTCAAAATAGCTAAGAGAATTAAAAAAAATACAACCATTTAACTTCACTTCATTTACTATCACTCACTTCAATCATAAAACTTAAAAATTATCCATCCTTTGGCAGTTGGGAATTTGGAATTTAGGGTTGCGTATTCCATTCTTGCACAAGAGAAAAGGGTATAGAGCTATGCCATCCTAAGGTGCTGCTAAATGGAAGGACCTTATCAACGTCCATGAATGATAAATCATAGCATAGATCGAACTACCGGATCGAAAAATTGGGTGCTATCATATGGCTTTGTATTGGTTAAGTTCACAAGTTGGAGATCAGCAGACTCGAACCGTTGACATCTGCCACAGGGTAAACCATTGCTTCTCAGGCCCCCGCCTGATTCTACCATAGAGGCCAATGATAAACAATAACTCTCCCCGAACACAGCTTACAAAAGGGTGAAAGTTTAAGAGACTAAATTTTTAGTTCAGGAAAAATGAATTTCTCTCTAAACGAAAGCTTCAAAAGGAGCATATATACCTGAGTTTAAGTGATCCATTCTTTGACCTCTCAATAAGTTTTGTAGGAATTGTTCCTGATAGTTGATTGCCTTCTAGTTCTCTTCAATAAACAAAAAAAAAAAAAAACAGTTTTAGTATCCTTTTCTCGAGAATATAAATGTTTTTATGAAGAATTTAAGAATCCAGGTGAAAATTGAAACAATTTACTCACAGAACCCTCAAGAACTGCAACTGAGAGAGGAAACTAGGTACATCTCCAACCAAATTGTTGTTTGACAAATCCCTAAAATGATAATAAATTAAATTCGCTGATCCTCAACTATAAGTTATTATTTCTAGAAATTGAGATACTTACAAGTACTCAATCGACTTCAAATTGGATAGGTCTGGAGCTATGTTTCCAGTTAATCCACCAGACGATAAGTTCCTGAACGCAAAGCAGTATGGAAGTTCATCACTATTGTCGAAGGGAGAATTCAAATTATAAAATCTTCAATTTTTTCAAGGCTATTTTATTCCAAACTCACAAGGAGGTGATCCTTGGGGAGCCAGATCCACCATAGCTGCAGTTAAGACCGTCCCACAAGTATGCCCGTGGAGTACAAGGGTCTCCTTGCCAGTTTCTCTTGATCCCATAAGATGATTTGATGTTCGTGATTGCATCAACTTTTATAATACAAGTAATCCAGTCAAATTAAATAAAGAATCTGTGAATAATCATGATAATACTTGAAGAAACTGCAACCGGTGAACATACCATCTGTTTGCTGTGTTTGTGACTGAGAGAGATCCTTAGTCATATATATCTCAATGGCATTGAAAAGAGGAGGAAGAGTTGATCTATCGGTTGTATTGATCCAAACATCAAGCCAAGGTTCAGTTATTATTGAGGTATAATACAGGGTTTTAAGGTACAAAGGACTGATATCAGCATTTAAAAGGTCTCCATTCAGGAATATGTCAAATTCTCTGATTTGGTTTGCTTGGAGTTTCTGGATTTCAGCAAAGTACAAGTATACGTTGTATATGGAATCATTATGCCCAAGCTGGAAGCGAAATTCCAATTTGTTGCTGACATTTGCTGGAGTTGCTGCTGTTCTCATGACAGTGGAAGGAGGGTAAGTTATTAAGTCGGATGATGATGCTGTTGATGATGATCCTTGGTCCACAGGGAGTGATGTATTCATCTGTCTCCAGTCTTTTGAGTTAAAAGGTGTCCATATTCGATCATAGATGTCATCTGGATACCTTCAGCATTGGGTGAAACATTAGAAAGTACTAAATTGAAACTCAAATTTCCAAGAAAGGTTCATCTTTTATTTCGTCAACTATAGGTATTTTCTTGCAACATAGTTCCTTGTTAACAAGATATCTTCAGTTTTGTCCATTAATCCTATTTCCATTCATAAATATAGACCTTGACCTAGCCATGGAATTCTTAATTAGAAAGCACTAATCTTATGAAATTCTCCCTATTTTCTTTGTTAGTGAGAGTTTCATGATGTAATGACTCACCTGACTAATTCACCATCCTGCAGCCCTATATCATACCGAGCCAAGAGCTGCAGGGAGCTGACGAGATAGGCATTGCTGTCCAGAACTCTTAGCTCCAACACTGATATGAAAGGTTTGCCATTGTTGGTGTTAAAAAGGCAAACATGAACATAATCTGATGAAGCAACATAAATTATTTCTTTGGTTACTATCTCAGATGCATTCTGAAACATCAAAGAGTCCCACCATTTAGCTCCAAGATAGATATCAAACTTGGGCAGAGAGTTTTCACCATCATAGTTTCCATACATGAACATGGCTCTCACTAAGAACTTTCTGCTCCTTCCTTGAGGAGCTGCAACAGTATAGCAGTTCCTGGTTCCTTCTGGGAAGCTTCGAACATTCCAGAACTGCCTTTTAAGGGTCTGCGTCTTATGTTTAGATGATATGCTGCGACTAATTCCAGTGGATATGATGTTGGAATCTGAAGTGTAATAGATGGAAGTAGTTTCATCTGTGTAGCTTGGTTTATCCACAAATCCACAATCAATACTGACGAATCCTGCAAAAAGGGTAAGAGTCAATGATTCATTTGTAAGAAAATATGAAGATGTGATTGCAGTCAGATGAACAAGATCAGATTAGCCAACCTGATTGATTCTGGGAATGAACAAGGACTGCAAGAGTCAAAAGTTGAAGTAATGCCAACTTTTGCATTTGAAGAGTTGAGAGGTTTTGCAGACTCCAAAATTACCTTGTTCTTTTAGAGAAAAAAAATATGCCAACTTTTTGGCTCACTAATCATGCTATTCATTGTCTCCATACTTATTTCAAAGAAAAATCAAACAATTTAAGAAAAAATAGACGGGAAAAAAAAAAACAGAAGACCAATTCTAAAGTTGAATTCTTCAACTTAAGACGTAACCTTCTCTTTTATTAGTTCATCGTCGTTGACCAGAGGTTAAGGCTGTACCTGTAGATGAAATCTTGGATTTCTCATAGAATATTTAATTCAACAATCAGATGGAATTCCACCAGAATTTGAAATCACATGGTGAACAAGAAGGGTCACTGGAACCAAGCATAGCCTGCAATAGTTGACATTCTGTTAATCAAACTAGTCCTAGTATCTCAGGCCAACAAAAAAAACAAAACAAAGTTACGTGCCAAACCTTCAGATGACTACAACTAGTTATATATAGTATATCTGCAAAACTTTTGCCATGTGGTGACTGTCTTTTTTTCTTTTTTCTTTTTTCTTTTTTTTTTCAATACCAGTAGTACACCTCTACAAAAATCTTATCTGATATCAGTGTTTATCAGATTATGCACACTTGGATTTCTCTCCGAAATTCAATTCCAATGCAATAGACATTCTTAGTTATCTTATGATCATAATCTGTTTACTTTGTTTTGATTACAAGAGAAAGACAAAGACACATATCCACTTTTGAATATATAAATATTCTAAAGGGTATAATAAAAATTGCCTGTTAGCTATATAAACATACATAAAAACAGATTGTCACTGCCATTCTGCCACGGCCCCTAAATGATGCGTTGAAATTGTACGTTTTTTATATTAGCTTGATAATGCGATTGAGTGATGTCTTACGCCATGATTCAGCAATTTTAAATGAGAAAATGACGACAGAATCCCTGGTAGGGATTTTATGACAATAAGTATAATAGGTGTATGAGTTTCTTTCATTGGATTAAGGACGACAAAATCATTATGAAAATGTCTTTTCTTTTAAAAGGTTAGGAAAAAAACACATAATTTCTGTTTGGAATCAAGCATCACATTCTTCTCCATAAAAAGCTATCTCCCAGTTTCTTTTTTGTTTTTTTTTTTGATAAATTTTTATATGATATCAATATTGATCGTATTGTGGACACTTGGGCTGCTCTCGCCCAAATTAATCTCAGAGCAGTGGACATTATCAGCGACAATATAATCCTTAATCAGTTAATATTGTTTTGTTGACAAATCTCCACATATGAACATAAACATGCTAGAGATCTTCAAATTTGAAAATATGAACTTCTCTTTTGTTATTTATCGTTGGCAGGAGATTGACGTTGTAGTTGCAAATTGAATCGTGGGTTTTTCCCAGAGATTTAATAAACAGAAACAGAGCACGCATTTGACCGGCGTAAAGAGTTTCGTCCTCTGGTGGTCAAACTAGTATTTTTATATATATCCCACATGTTGAAATGACTCAATTAGTTTATATTTATGTAGAAGACTTTTTTCATGATTATATTCAGATTAGTCATATCAATTTGACATGTTGAAACTCAAACGTGAGAATTTTCACACCAAGCACACCCCAAAAAAAAAATTGTGGAATCAATTATTTTTGCCATTTGACTTTATATAAAATGTCTATGATATGGTGATTTTGTAATTGAAACCGACTGTTATGTGGTAATAGTGATAGTGACGGTGATTAGGTAAATAATAAGAGGGGTAGGTCTATAAATAGGATATGAAATGATGTATTGAGAGTTGATTAAGTTGATATTTTACTGTTTAGTATATACTTCTCTTTCACAATTATCACAGACAGCTTAAACAAGTTTTTATTTTCCCTGGCAAGAAAACATAGATCAATTTTAAGTTTTTAAATTTACTTAAACGGAAGTCTCTTGAACAGAATCTTTCAAGTAACAACCTATCTAAAGATTTGATCATTGTTAGAATCTAATGACATCGTGCGATTCATGTAGCCGACTAAATCTAATGAAATAAGACTGTGCTTCCTGTTGAAATTGTCTTGCCTGTTTGAAACAGTTTCCTAAAGTTCTATTCCATATAACTCGGTGACTTCCAATTATGACTCTAATTCTAGCGCATCAGACAAGCTGTTTCTCTAATGCAGTAACCTTTTGCCTGCCGATTTGTGTGATGAACATCATGCTTCTATTTAATTTCCTCATATGATTCATTTTCATAGCCTTTGTAATTTTTTTGAAAAAAATAAAGAAAGATCTATACGTGAATTCAGATTTTGGATAACAAATCATCTCAATGGAAACGCCGAAGCTCTTGGATTGCTTGTTTTTCCATCGTCTTTCGCTCGTCCTTGCAACAAGAGTCAGAGCAGATTATTTCATAATAGCAGCCAAAATTTCAATTTCAGTGATTTCATCAAATATCTGGAAGTTTAATTCACGCACTAAAACTACCAGTGAATAACTTCTACAGAAAAGCATTTGTACTTCCATCCGGCCATCCCACAGTACAAAATCTATAAAATAATACTCTATTGATCCAATTCCGCGAATATACAACTTTCACCTCCAGGATCCAAAGTAATAGTTGATGGAACAGAATTGAAGCGAATACAGATCTTCATATTACTGTCAAAGTAAAATTCAACAACAGTATGAAAGAAAACTTATTTCCAGAACTAAATGATACGTTTTGCCCTTCTTAACCATTAAAGAGGGCGAAGAACAAAGAAACTACTCTGTTAGTTAAAAAAGAAGAAACCGGCACCAGCTTCCTAGTTGTTAGGACTTATTGTGCAGCCACTATGTCATTTAGATAAAAAGCTAAGGTAAAAGAATCACCAATAACAACTCCTCCTAGAAGACAAAGCTTCACCTAGTTCCAGTATCGAAAAAGCTCTCCCTCATAAAGGAGGATACAGGTCTGCAGATGTTATCCAAAGCATATCATTCCTGAAATACACATCATTTGTGTTGATGATTAGGTATCGCATTCTTCTCCATGCTTGGGTTTTTTTTTTTTTTTTGGGGGGGGGGGGGGACATAAAGCATTTAACACTTCGCAAAAGATTTGAACTATCTAGGTAGAGAACTCTCTCCACTGATTCTACCAAATGAGTAATCAATTTGACTGTGAATTCCGCGAGCCATCTCCATAGCCAGACATTGTCTCAATTCCATCACTACGTGGGTCATTGTTGGCCTGTTCAGGGAAAAAGCTGCCACACAACCCATTGCAGTATCCAATGCTTTTGTTGCAGAATCAATATCAAAGTTTCCCTCTAATCTTGAATCCACAATATCAACAATCTTGCTTTCACCAAGCATGAGATTAACCCATTGGACTATGTGAGTACTTTCTTCAGTCTTGACTATGGCGGGTTGTCCTGTAATTATCTCGAGCAGAACAATCCCAAAGCTATAAACATCACTTTTTTCGTTCAACTTGTTTGACATATTGTACCTGCACGACAGAAAACCTGCAATTCAACCTATGGTTTGAGGGGAAAAAAAAAAGAAGAAAAGAAGATAACTTGTGCACTCATCAATTTCTGAGAACGACCATTCAGCTTATGTAGTTTAGAGCTGGCAAAAACTTACACAGGGTCAAGATATCCCGGTGTGCCAGCTATAATAGTAAATATATGCGTATCATCTTCATCGGGAAAGGTTTTTGACAATCCAAAATCAGCTATTTTTCCCCGAAAATATTCATTCACTAAGATGTTTTTGGACTTAACATCTCTGTGAACAATTGGCGGCTTACAACCCGTATGCAGATACTCCAAGCCTGCAGTTAAAAGTGAAGCAACTCTTGCTGCATAAATGGAAGGATCAACAAAGGAAAGTAAGGGGGAGCAAAAGAGTTCTTCTTTGCTCACCTTCTGCAGCATCCACTGCAATTTGTAGCCGTTGTTTCCAGTTCAAGATGTTTACATTTTTGTCTGCATTAAAATAAGTTGCACAAAAATTTACTCAGTTGTATACACCTAGAATTGTTTGTTGAATTAACTTTCAAACTTCATCTTAAGACATATATGGTTATGTATGGGCTGTTTGAATGCCTATTACTTACTTCCTTGTAAGAAGGAAAATTTTCATGGACTTGAGAGATCATATGGCAAATACCTGATAAATGCTTGGCTAAGTCGCCATTAGCCATATACTCATAGATGAGAGCAACGTTGGTGCCCTCGTCACAATATCCTATCAGAGCAGTCAAGCGTTGGTGGTGAACTTTAGCAAAAAGCTTTGCCTGTCAATCAGAAAGTTGGAGGTAAAAAAAAAAAGATCTATATAAACGGAAGCAGAATTGGTTGATAAAGGTGTATGATATGGCAATGATATCTGTATGAGTATGATGAAGATTTGAAGGAAATAATCATACCATAGTACCATACCTCTGCCTGAAATTGCAGATACCCTTGAGCTGAAGGAGAGAGCAGTTTGACAGCAACCTGAGTGTTATTTACGGTTCCATGGTAGACTGTCCCAGATGCTCCTTTTCCCACAATCTTTTCAAAGTTGTTGGTAATTCTAGAAACTTCAGCATATGTAAAGTGTCGTTTCCTCTGCCCTAGCTCCTTGTTTATTGTGGAATAAGTATTCGCCTTCACTGGATTTATGGAAACTGTGAGAGAAGAAAGAGTATGCAATTAACAAAGGCCCCTCCCCCCCTCCCTTTCCTGACGTAGTTGTTTTAATATACACAGCCAGATTTTCATCGGTAAGTAGTTTGATTGAGTACTGTGTTTATTAAAAGCTGCCCCATTCAAGAAAGAAATTCTCGACCTTTACTTATTACAAGGACATTTTACTGATAGATGACCTTAGACTTGTACCTATTTGTCTTCTTCTAAAGATACAAAAGGTAATTGTAGTTGCCAGAAGTATGAAAGCCCCAGCTATTGTTGAGACTATTGCAATGACAATCTTTGGCTTCCCACTCTTGCACGAATCTTCTGAAGAGCAAAGATTTG